AGATGGATTTACGTTTCGTGATCCAGGTGATAATATTTATTTATATTTACTTAATATCTTTAAAACCATTACCTATATAGTTTAGTAACAATTTTTTATATGATTTATACATGTCAAAARTTAAAATATTATTTCTATTTTTATATGTAGCTTTGGATGGTGATGAYGATTTAAATGGGGCTGAAGAAGATCRGAGTCRAGACTCTACTACCTAGACTTTGTCTTTTGCTTATGTTTTATTTTCCATAGTTATTTAAATTCATTTGACATTTGCATTCATTTGGTTAAACTTTTGCTTTTAATTAAATTYGATTTTGATAAGCGTATATCGATTTTATATTGCAAGTACTATTTAGCATAAAAATTCTAAAAAGCCCGTAATAGCCCTAAAGCCCTGTACGGACCGGGCCGGGCTATGAAAAATAGGCCCGATTATTTTTCGGGCCGGGCCGGGCGGGGCTTATTTATATGCGGGCTTTGCGGGTTTTGGGCCGGGCCGGATTAGCCCATTTGACATGCCTACTATTAAATAAATGCGTACCAACTGTATCAATTGTCTGCGTCCTCGAATTTTTGCACTTCCGACACGGGCACACCATCACTCTGATTCGTTGAATTGTAGGCACACTACTCGCTTGAGCCATGAAAATTTCAAGGCCGTTGAGGAACTCTTCTGAAAGTCCTCCATTTGCATCTTTACGTTGATACATCCAGCGTCGGAGTTCGTATATATCTCCCATTTTTTTTCTAAATTTTGTAAAAAAAAATTTTTTTTTCGAATTTTTTTTTTTAAAATGGTAGACTGATTCAGGCGATGCGGGAGGTTGAGTATATATAGGAGAATTTAGCAGCGATTTAGCAACGATTTTGCATCGAATATTTAGCATCAAATTAGCGTCGAATACCTTAGTGTCGATTTTGCATCGAATTAGCGTCGATTTTGCACCCAGGTAGGTAAACTCGTTTTTAATGTGTCTCCTACCTACCAATTTYAGGCAAATTCGACGCTATATTCGACGCTACGTGATCGACGCTAAATCGATGCAACATTAGCATCGATTTAGCGTCGAATTCAGTCTTAAACTGGAATTCCGACGCTAATTCGATGCTAATTTGCGTCGATTTAGCGTCGAATTGATTCGACCCTACTTAGCGTCGAATATTTAGACTGACACAATTTCGACGCTATATTAGCGTCGAAAAAATTCTGACGCTAAATTTCGACGCTAAATTACAGTTTTCTTGTAGTGTCTTATTGGCTCCGCCGCATAACGAATATTATCTGCATTATCGACAACTCATCTTATGCGGACTATTGACAAAAGATCTGGAGTCGTATATTCTTATTTCGATCTATAGTCCATCCGCGCTATGAATACCACTCAAGCAACAATGGTTTCAACCAACAGATTCCGATAGCTTGGAATTTTTTTTCTTTACCACAAGAACATAAAATCTCTTTGTCATATAAAGCTGGTAAATACTTTTTTTTTTTTCAACAAGTTTTTCATTAATTTAAACGATCAAAGTACAAAGGGAGGGAATTAAGCATCCTCCAGCATTAATACAATATAATTGAAATGCGATAAACCATAAGGCAGATAAATCATCGTAGAAGATGGACAGCAGATCCAAGACATGTCTCGGATGCGTCAAGAGGGTCTTCGCGGCAAGGCCGGAGAGTCTCAAGGTAGTCACTTTACATTGTGACTTTGAAGAATCCGACATAATGCTCGGAGATTCGACCACTCTCAAAGAGATGGAAGAAAGTAGAATTGGATTCTTCCACCGGGAGTAAATTACAGGGTTTGAGAACCCAGAAAACTTGTATCTTCTCACAATAGAAGAGATATAATTATTAAAAACTACAGGATTTGAGAATCCATAAAACATTGGACTTTTAAAGAAGAAAATCCAATAAGCTCAAAAGCAAGTAATATCGATGAAAAGTATGAAAGCGGTTCCGGTACTAACCCTAACAAAGTGTCATACACATCTAAAATTAAAGTTATTAGAGAGTATAAACACCTTACCAAATAATTATCAGCCCCTGTACTGGGCGGGCTCCAAATATCTGAACAAAGGGCCTATTGGACTAGACTTTTCAAATCTCGGAATGGGCCAAGCCCAAACTCTCGATTTCATCTCTTGGAACCGAAGAATTGACGGGATACGAGACCACCATGACAGATGGTGGCAGCGGCTATGTGCGAGGACTCCAACCGGTTTTAGTCGCGGCGGAGCCAGCTCGGACCATCGCCGGAGCTTACGCTGAAGAACAAATCCGGCGACCTCAGATCTCGCCGTCGACGGAGCAGGACATGGAACCGTGGACTGAGATAACGACGGTGTCCCAGTGGCTGCAACCACAACTAGATAAGGTCTCAGATTAGGCAATTTAGCTAGAGTATTAATGGATTCAACCTCCGTAACGAGCCAGATCTCGGTCGAGGAGGAGATGGGGGTAAACGACATCGGCTGTGATTTTCTTCCCCGTGGAGCCGAGATTGAAAACCTGCGGAGCTTGGGTTCGGATCTTGTATCAGCGCAACCACCGGAGCCGAATTCATCGTCGGCGAGAAAGGGTTTTGCTGGGTGAAACATCTTAGCGTGGAATGAGGACGGTAGGGAAGAGGGAGTCGGCAAGGAAGAGGGAGCAGCGGCTAACGACGGTGAGGCAGAAGCAAGATGCGGTGGGGGAACATAGAGATCCGGTAAAGGAGAGAAATTCTCAGCTATCGAAACAGAACTTGAAGCCGATAGCTGAGGAGGAGAACCACCATCCGGTGGAGCAGATGGTTCTGGTGGCTCGGATGGGCGAAGGTCTTTAGACTACGCCGATGCAGTCGCCGTAACAGATGATTGGAGATGGAAGAAAACCATCAGCACAGACTCACGCGCAAGGCGGAGGAGCAAGCATCGAGAGTGGGTCTCATCCTTGGAGTTCATTCGACGGAAGGAGAATGAACGCTTCATCATCATCTGATAGGGTCGAGCGAATCCGAAGGAAGGCGGAGAGCAAGGGACTAGGCAGAAGCCCGGTCAGAAGCATATCGCCGGAGACAACACGTCATTTCGGAGACGTCGTACGACCACCTCGAAATTCGTGTCTGGGAGAGAGTCCGGTAAATACTTTTTTATTCATTGATATATTTAACATTTCATCAGAACAATCCATATACTAATTTTTTTTTTTTTCATTATTGTTTCATGATAGTTTTGTTGTACAACACAAAAATGAATCACAAATTAATTAATAAATGCAAAGTAAACACAAAGTAAAACACAAAAATGAATCACAAATTAATTAATAAACACAGAGTAAAACACCAAAATGAATCACAAAATTAACATTAAAATATATCATATC